CAAAATTTCAATCCGTGATTTGACCTTTAAGGTCAAATATTTTTAATAAGGTATATATTAGGGAACTCGAGATTTTGACCCTAGCTATCGAATGCGACCATCAGAAATTGGATCGGACGATCGGTGTAGAAAAAATCGGGGGACTCAAAATTTCAATCCGTGATTTGACCTTTAAGGTTGAATATCCGTGATTTGACCTTTAAGGTCAAATATTTTTAATAAGGTATATATTAGGGAACTCGAGATTCTGACCCTAGCTATCGAATGCGACCATCAGAAATCGGATCGGACGATCGGTGTTGAAAAAGTTGGGGGACTCAAAAATTCAATCCGTGATTTGACCTTTAAGGTCAAATATTTTTAATAAGGTATATATTAGGGAACTCGAGATTCTGACCCTAGCTATAGAATGCGACCATCAGAAATCGGATCGGACGATCGGTGTTGAAAAAATTGGGGGACTCAAAATTTAAATCCGTGATTTGACCTTTAAGGTCGAATATTTTTAATAAGGTATATATTAGGGAACTCGAGATTCTGACCCTAGCTATAGAATGCGACCATCAGAAATCGGATCGGACGATCGGTGTTGAAAAAATTGGGGGACTCAAAAATTTAATCCGTGATTTGACCTTTAAGGTCAAATATTTTTAATAAGGTATATAATAGGGAACTCGAGTTTCTGACCCTAGCTATCGATTGCGACCATCAGAAATTGGATCGGACGATCGGTGTAGAAAAAATAGGGGGACTCAAAATTTCAATCCGTGATTTGACCTTTAAGGTCAAATATTTTTAATAAGGTATATATTAGGGAACTCGAGATTTTGACCCTAGCTATCGAATGCGACCATCAGAAATTGGATCGGACGATCGGTGTAGAAAAAATCGGGGGACTCAAAATTTCAATCCGTGATTTGACCTTTAAGGTTGAATATCCGTGATTTGACCTTTAAGGTCAAATATTTTTAATAAGGTATATATTAGGGAACTCGAGATTCTGACCCTAGCTATCGAATGCGACCATCAGAAATCGGATCGGACGATCGGTGTTGAAAAAATTGGGGGACTCAAAAATTCAATCCGTGATTTGACCTTTAAGGTCAAATATTTTTAATGAGGTATATATTAGGGAACTCGAGTTTCTGACCCTAGCTATCGATTGCGACCATCAGAAATTGGATCGGACGATCGGTGTAGAAAAAATAGGGGGACTCAAAATTTCAATCCGTGATTTGACCTTTAAGGTCAAATATTTTTAATAAGGTATATATTAGGGAACTCGAGATTCTGACCCTAGCTATCGAATGCGACCATCAGAAATCGGATCGGACGATCGGTGTTGAAAAAATTGGGGGACTCAAAAATTCAATCCGTGATTTGACCTTTAAGGTCAAATATTTTTAATGAGGTATATATTAGGGAACTCGAGTTTCTGACCCTAGCTATCGATTGCGACCATCAGAAATTGGATCGGACGATCGGTGTAGAAAAAATAGGGGGACTCAAAATTTCAATCCGTGATTTGACCTTTAAGGTCAAATCAACATGTGTAGAATTGATGTATGATAAGGTGTACCAAAAACGGCGGCGCGGAGCGCCGCCGTTTTTGAGATATTCGCGAAAAACCACAAGGGGGGTGTTCAAACACCCCCCCCCCAGCAGGGCGCGGGTTAAGCCCCAATAAACAAACAATAGAGTTTTCGCCCTCTGGAGGCTAAACCGTTGACCCGAGGTCAAATCTGAGAAAATACGCTGAAGTAAAAGGTCTGTAAAAGGGCTATCGAATAGGTACCTACGCTTTTCCGCGGCGCTGTGGCTCTATTGGTCCCCGATTTAGCTGTTGGCAGTTTCCAAAATTGTTGAAATGGACTACATTTGACCTTTGATGCCCTCTGGCGACCTTACCTTTGACCTGACCCAAAAAATGACTGAAGTGCTTTCATCATTATTTTTTGCGCTTTCTCGAATGCCGCTTACCGCGTGTCGCTACGTGGCCCAGGAGCCGAGTAAAGACCGCCCCACACTGGACCTCGCATGCTGGTTGCGAGTTTTCGGTTTTTCGGGTTTCTTCCAAAATAAAGAATTCACTCTATGCTGAGTAACCCATACCACCATGCAACAAGCGAGTCTGTATGTTTTTAGCATGCGAGCCAACTTGCATCGCATTCCAGGAGTTGATTTCGAGTCAACTTTCGATTTTCCTCGCTGCGAGGTTTGCGAGTTCTGCGAGGTTTGCGGGTTTTTCGTTGGAGTTGAATCTTGGTTCGTTGCGCTGGTATTGCGACTATCTGTAATTTTCTGAAGGTGTACCGGCTTCACTGCATTCATGAAGTTACGATAAGGGAGAAGTCTTATCCATCTATGACTTAGTATTATGCCCGCAAACTCAAAGCCTGCAAACTCGCAACCCGCATGCGAGGTCCAGTGTGCATGGCAGCCTTTAGACGGAGAGGGGGGGGGGGTGTTCAGCGTCGAAATCGGCCGAACATGACGTCACTCTGACGTCATTTCCGGCCGACCTATGGTAGCTACGAAGTTCATAATTTGACTCAAGGTGTCAAATTGATGCAGCCAAAGGAACTGAAAGTTTAGCGTCGATACGTCCGGCGGTTAAAAAGTTATTGCAGAAAATGACAGGGGGGCTATTAATAGCCCTCCCCCAGTGGGTCGCGGGTTAACCCGAGCCCTGATGGGGGGGGGCATTTTGCCCCCCCCCCCCTGTGGTTTTTCTTAAACAGCGAGAAAACGGCGGCGCGCAGCAAATTTTGGGTACCTTCCCGGGCATCAATTTGACACCTTCATACAAAATTTCAAGTCACAGGTCACCTCGGGTCAGGAGTTATTGAGGTCAAACTGAGGTCATGTTCGAGTAAAAATGAGCAAAAAACGTGGCATCTTGAAACGCTCACCAAATCTACAGTTAACAAGCAATTTAAAAGTTATTTATGTGGTTGTGTAGAGAAAAGACGGCGCTACAAAACTGCTATCTCGGATTTTCGAAATTTTGGGATTTTCACCCCCCAAAAAATAAAAAATAAGATTTTTTTTAACTAAAAAAAAATTCAATTTCTTTTTTGAATTTCGAAAAACCGGAATATATGTGATAGTCCCTGCGCTCTTCGATGTACATACCAAATTTTAGATCGATACCTCCTTTTTTGGCCAAGTTATACCTAGTGAGAAAAAAACTGTTCAAAATTGATGACGTCAAATTTTTGAACTCAATTTTTAGCAATTCTAGACCACGTAGCGCAAAACGGAGACCACCATTGAACTCCCCGTGACAAGCTGCATCGAATCGATACCCATTTTATGCAAAAATATCAACTTTGAAATTTGACCTAATTTGACCTAACCTGACCTTGACCTGACCTTGACCTGACCTTCACCAAAACATAATCTCAACTGACCCCAAGGGCTGCCTGTCACACATAATCGCATTTGGCATATAAAATGGACCATAAAACATGCATCACATGATATTTTTAATTTGTGACCCTCAGTGACCTGACCTCTGTGACCTGACCTGGTATAAGTGACCTCAAATAGCAAAATATGGATTTGACAAACATTTCCCCATCGATGATTTTCAATGAAATGCATTTTACTCGATTTTACAACGCATTTCTTGAAATGCCTGTAAACGGTGAAAATTCGACCTTTGACCTGACCGAGGTCAATGAAATTGGGTCACAAGGTAGTTCCCCGTTGGGGCTATCCAACGCCGTTTGCCGCTTGTCGCTATGTTGCGTGGTTCTCGAGATCTTAGGGGGGGCAAAATGCCCCCCCCCCATCAGACCGCGTTGCTCGGCAGACCCATCAGGGCGCGGGTTAATGGGCGAAAATTGAAAGGCGCCTCTTATTGACGAACGTCATTCCAAACACTCAAACATTGGTTTACAGGTAAACTTAACAAGCTGAACCGAAAAAAAAATAGCACCCGTGACATCTCCAGTCTCCTTATGTCCCTGAGGTCATGCCACGTCATGAAAGATTCTCAGAAGTTCTTTGACAATAAAATTTGATTGAGACTTTCTAGAGCGATGAAAACGCCTCTTATGTGTTCAGCTCGACGATACGGTCACTGATATGCAACATGACCTTTTCCGGTCAGGTCATGACCTTGATCTGAGGTAGGTCATTTTTTTTTCAAAATGACCTTTCAAGGTCAAATTATATTTCATTCGACTGGTCGTGACGAGAGGAGCACGATGCTGGCAAGATAAATGTCGTCACTTTCTTGAGACAAAGGTTATTGCAGAACACCGTTTTTCATAACAACGGCTATATTTGGAGTTTTTGCCCTCTGGAGGCTAAACTGTTGACCTGAATCCAAATCTGAGAACACGCTATAGAAAAACAAAAAAAAAACGCTAAAAGGGCTATTGAATGCGATTTACCGCAGCGCTGTAGCTCTATTGGTTCCCGAGTTACGCATCGGCATTGAAAAAGGTTGAAATAGGCAAGATATTTTAATGACCTCTGGTGACCTGACCTCTGGTGACCTCTGGTTACCTGGACTAAACAATGACCAAAAGTGCGTTCGTCTTGCTTTTGGACACTCTTTCGAATGCTGCTTACCGTGTGTCGTTACGTGGCTCAGCAGCCGAGTTAGACGGGGTCCCCTCCCCCCCCCCCTCGGGCCCGGCGCGTTTGACGCCGAGCACCGGCCCGGAGCTGGTTATTCTATGTGCTGTCGCCGGGAGGTGGGCGCGGCGGTCGCTGGTTATTCTGTGTGCTGTCGCCGGGAGGTGGGCGCGGCGGCCGCTGGTTATTGTATGTGCTGTCGCCGGGAGGTGGGCGCGGCGGCCGCTGGTTATTGTATGTGCTGTCGCCGGGAGGGGCCGCTGGTTATTCTATGTGCTGTCGCCGGGAGGCCGGCGCGGCGGCCGCTGGTTATTGTATGTGCTGTCGCCGGGAGGGGCCTCTGGTTATTCTATGTGCTGTCGCCGGGAGGCCGGCGCGGCGGCGATGTGACGCAGCGCTCTGCTCTGCAGGGGGCGCGGCGGTGCCGGCGATCGCCAGCCGGCAGCGGGTCTGCGCCCTGCTGGGCACCGTGCGCCTCCTCTCCGGCCACTACCTGGTCATCATCACGCGCAAAGTGCGCGTCGGAGAGATCAACCGCTGCACCGTCTGGCGGGTCGAGCACACGGAAATCATCCCGTTCTCGCGGACCGCGGCCCAGCTCACCGAGGAGCAGGTGAGACGGGCCCCGTCCCACTGCACTGGGAGCAGATGAGAAGGTCCCCGTCCCACTGTGAGCAGATGGAAAGGTCCCCGTCCCACTGGGAGCAGATGGAAAGGTCCCCATCCCACAGGGGAACAGGTGGAAAGGTCCCCATCCCACAGGGGAACAGGTGGAAAGTTCCCCATCCCACAGGGGAACAGGTGGAAAGTTCCCCATCCCACAGGGGAACAGGTGGAAAGTTCCCCATCCCACAGGGGAACAGGTGAGACGGCCCCCACGGCCCACTCTGGACTCTGACGGCGCGCTGTGCGTGCAGGTGCGACTGAACAGCCAGTACGTCGGCATGCTGGAGAACGTGCTGCGCCAGCCGCACTTTTACTTCTCCCACACGTACGACCTGACGCAGACTGTGCAGCGGCTGCACAACACGACGCCCGAGTTTCTGCAGGTGAGCCCACCGCCGGCGCCGCCGGCACTGGCGGCGACACACTCCAGAGCTACAGATTTATTGGCTAGCTGGGCTGTTATTTTTCAATCAGCTCAATCAGTTTCTTTCTTTGTGAGCGGATGATTAGGTACCTTTGGGCGTCAGCATACGTCGTGGCTGCCGCTGAATATGTGGCCCCGCGGCCGGCGGGCGCCGGCCACTGTGACACACCCCCGCGGCGGGCCAGTGCCGGCAGCCTGGCCGGCCACTGTGACACACCCCCGCGGCGGACCGGCAGATTCCGCTGTGACCCCCCCCCCCCCGCGGCGGCCCATAGCCGGCCACTGTGACACACCCCCGCGGCGGCCCAGTGCCGGCCTCTGTGACCCCCCTCCCCCCCCCCCCCCCCGCCCGCGGCGGACCAGTGCCGGCGGCCCGGCCGGCCACTGTGACACACCCCCGCGGCGGGCCGGCAGATTCCGCTGCACGAGCGGGCCGACCAGCGGTTCGTGTGGAACGCTCACCTGCTGCGCGACCTGTCGGCGCGCCCCGGCCTCGGCCGCTTCTGCCTGCCGCTCGTGCACGGGTTCGTCTCGATCAAGCAGTGCAGTCTGAACGGGTGTCCGTTCACCTGGTCTCTGATCTCGCGGCGGAACTGCTACCGCGCCGGCACCAGGTCAGACGCCGGGACGGGTCACACGCCGGGCCGGGTCAGATGGCGGGACAGGGTCACACTCCGGGCCGGGTCAGACGCCGGGACGGGGGCAGACGCCGGGCCGGGTCAGATGGCCGGGCCGGGTCAGATGGCGGGGCCGGGTCAGATGGCGGGGCCGGGTCAGATGGCGGGGCAGGGGCACACGCCGGGCCGTGTCAGACGCCGGGCCGGGTCAGCCGCCGGGCCGGGTCAGACGCCGGGCCGGGTCAGATGGCGGGACAGGGGCACACGCGGGGCCGGGTCAGATGGCGGGACAGGGTCAGATGGCGGGGCCGGGTCAGATGGCGGGACAGGGGCACACGCGGGGCCGGGTCAGATGGCGAGACAGGGTCAGATGGCGGGGCCGGGTCAGATGGCGGGGCCGGGTCAGATGGCCGGGCCGGGTCAGATGGCCGGGCCGGGTCAGATGGCCGGGCCGGGTCAGATGGCCGGGCCGGGTCAGATGGCCGGGCCGGGTCAGATGGCCGGGCCGGGTCAGATGGCCGGGCCGGGTCAGATGGCCGGGCCGGGTCAGATGGCCGGGCCGGGTCAGAGGCTTTGTTGACATCCGGATCCAGATGTGCAAAGAAGTATGGGTTTGTGGTAGATGGCGGTTCCCTTGTGTTTGCCTTGTACTTTGAACCTGCTGTCTACGAGTGGGTACAGGCTAGAAAGTAGAAGGTTGAACGCCGATGACGCCTGCAGACTGTTAGGTATTCATGTCTGTACGCCTCGCCGTCATATTTGACGTCACATACCCCCGGCCACAGAGTGTGAATGCCCCCGTCCACACATTGTGTATGTGTTGTCCGCAGGCTGTTTATGCGCGGCATTGACGCTTCCGGTCACGTGGCCAACATGGTGGAGACGGAGCAGATCGTCGAGTACCAGGGCGACCGCATGTCGTTTGTCCAGGTAACGGCGGACAGAGCGCATCGGTGGACAGGAGCTAATGGCTGCATGTGGAGCTGACACACACCTTGGGCTGACGGAAGGGTTATTGTTTTGTTGGAAGCAAGTTCTTTCGGCCTGAAAGGGTAATTGCGGAGCTGCCACATGCTAGAACGGGGTGACGATATTGGATTCTGCGGACCACCGCGGTGCGCCGCAGCGGCAGCGATCGTCCCGGTGGGACGAAAATGCCCCGCCCGCCGCTCAAGTGGTCAGCCCGGAGACGGTGTGGACCCACCCTCAACCACCGGTTGTCTGGTGGGGTAGACCGCCAGGCCGGAAAGGCGAGGCGCGTGAAGGGGATGCGGACAAGGTCAAACTTTATGCGAAGTAGGAGCACAAAGTCGTGTACTATTTTTCCTATTTAATTTTCATCCCAATCCTGGGCGCCGATGGAATTTTGGTCCTGTAGATCTGACCCTCCCCTGTAGTCTGTAGAGCTGACCTGACCCTCCCCTGTGGAGCTGACCCTCCCTGTGGAGCTGACCCTCCCCCGTTGTCGGACAGACGCGGGGCTCGATCCCGCTCTTCTGGTCGCAGTACCCGAACCTGCGCTACAAGCCGACGCCGGCCCTCTCGCAGCGCGACAACCACCAGGAGGCGTGCGCCAAACACTTTGACGCCCAGCTCTTCCACTACGGCAGACAGGTGGTCATCAACCTGGTACGTGGACGGCTGGGTGTCGGGCTGGGTGGACGGCTGGGTGTCGGGCTGTGTGGACAGCAGGGTTCGGTCTGTGTGGACAGCAGGGTTCGGGCTGGGTGGACGGCTGGGTTTCGGTCTGTGTTGACGGCTGGGTAGACGGCTGGGTAGAGATCTATGTGGACGGCTAGGCAGTGGCCTGTGTGGACTGACAGCTATGGCCCATTTGGCCGACTAGGTAGGTGCCTCTGTGGACGGTTAGGTATTGGCCTATGCAGACGGCGAGCTGGCGGCCCAAAGGAGTGTAAAAGAGCTGTTGGATTGTACGTAAGCCGCAGTGCGATGTTGGTGGTATGTTGGCTATGTGCACGGTGCGCGGACAGATCTGGCGCCTCTCTCCCTCGCTGGCCTGGGGCCATCGCGCTGTGTCGGCTCGATGACCCCAGGCATTGTCAATACGGACCCGGTCAGCCTAGGCGGGTGCAAATCGAACCTTGGAATGGCGTCCAATCACGGCTAAGCAGACAAAGTGGCACCTGGGAATGGCTGCCAGTCGCGGATAAGCAAAGCGTCACCTTTTCGCTGGCTGCCTGAGCGCGCGGCGGCCGGCTCGCCGGGCCTAACGGAGGCGACAGTAGCGGGGCGAGGAGCCGTCCGTCGGCAAGCGGCCCGGCAGAAACCGGCCGGGGTGCCATCTGAGCAGTCGCTGGAAGGACGTGCCCCCACGATTTGAGCAGTCGTCGGAGGTGGCACCCCACCCCCACCCCTAACCCACGTCAGCGCGGTAACGCGGTCGACAACAACTGACCCCTGAATGGTGTCGGGCTCCGACGGGCAAAATTATTCATCATCGATGCTCAAGTGGAATAAAAAGATGGGTAAATAATCATCGAACAGGTCTGGCTGTGGTTCCTAGACGCCGACGTGTCCTCTTCTGGATGTCCTTACAACGGGAGGACAGATTTATCTGTCACCAGGCCGCCCCGTGCCAAGCCCACTCTGACCAGGGCGACGGGGGCGCCGGTCGGCCCGGTCACCGCTGGCGGGAGCAGATGCGGGCGCGGCCACCTCAGTCGCCCGGCCGCCGCCCGCCTGACGGCCGCGTGTGGAGCGCCCTGCAGCACGGTGTCCGGGCCGCTCGTCTCCCGGACGGGACGTCGCTCAGCCCGGCGTCATGGCGGCGTGGAAGGGGCTCAGTGCATCCCCTGGGCCGCGGAGCGGCTCCGCTCCCCCTCCGCGGCCGGCTCGGCCGCCCGCCGCCCGCTCACTCCATCAGCCGCCCGCTCACTCCATCAGCCGCCCGCTCACTCCATCAGCCGACTGGTGACATATGTAGCCAGCTGTGCCCAACTCGGCCGCTGTGCCCAGCCCAGCCGCTGTGCCCAACCCAGCCAGCTGAGTGGCATTTGTTTGCGAACACGTTAAAAGGCGCCAGAACTTTCCGCGTGCTAGCCTATAAAAAAGCAGTTTCTCAACAAGTGCTGCGTACCGTTCGTCAGTCTGCGCTGTGACCGTTGTGTGCCGGAGCTGTTTGGTGTCGTGCCGCGCTCGCTGGCCGTGCTCGCTGCTCACTGTGAGTCTGCCGCTGACCGGTACGGACCCGGCGCGTGGCAGATCGACCAGAAGGGCGTGGAGAAGCGGCTGGGCGACACGCTGTCCGAACTGGTGCGGCAGCTGGCCACCCCCAGCGTCCGATACGAGGCGTTCGACTTCCACCACGAGTGCCGAAAGATGCGCTGGGACCGACTCTCCATCCTGATGGACCGCATCGCTGAGGAGCAGCAGGAGATGGGTATGTACCCGCCGGGGGGGTCCCATCGTACCCGCCGGGGGGGGGGGGGCATCGCACCCGCGGATGGGGAGGTCCCCGCCGGGGGGCCGGCTGGGGGGGGGGAGTCCCATCGTACCCGCCGGGAGACGCAGCGGGAGACGGGTGTGTACCCGCCGGGGGCCGGCCGGGGTGGTCCCATCGCACCCGCGGAGGGAGGGGGGGGGGGGTCCCCACCGCACCTGTCGGGAGACGCAGCAGGGGACGGGTGTGTACCCGCCGGGGGCCGGCCGGGGAGGTCCCATCGTACCCGCCGGGGGGGGGGGGGTCCCACCGCACCCGTCGGGAGGCGAAGCAGGGGACGGGTGTGTACCGGCCGGGGACGGACGTACCGTACCGGCCGCGGGGCCGCCCGGCGGGCCCTGCCGCACTCGCCGGAGCAAGGGGTGGTTTACGAGGGGGAGGGGGGAGCGGCTGGTGCCCAGTGGACCAGGGTGTGTCACTGTGTCAGGGACGCTTTCCGGTCGTCCCTCGCGGTCGCTGCCGCGGATTTGTGTTGGTATAAGTCACAGTTGGTATTGTCCTCTGTGTGCGTCGTTTGCTGAGCGCGCTGGTAGAGCGTGTGGCTGGTGTGGACGGTCCGCTACACGGCGCGCCGGCCGGCTGACCCGTGTCTGTGCGCGGCGCGGCGCAGGCTACTTCCTGCTGACCCGGGACGGCGTGCTGGCGCGCGTGCAGGACGGCGTGTTCCGCACCAACTGCATCGACTGCCTGGACAGAACCAACGTGGTGCAGAGCATGATCGCGCACCGGCAGCTTCAGCACGGCCTCCAGGTGGGCGGTCACACCGGGACACGGGAGGGCACACCGGGACACACCGGGACACACCGGGCCGCGGGAGCTACACCGGGCCACGGGAGTCGACACGGGGCCACGGGAGGGTACACTTGGTCACACCGGGACACGGGAGGGTACACAGGGCCACACCGGGCCGTGGGATGCATGTTTATGCGTGCACTCTCTAGCGTGAACCTCTATATCTGACCCCTCCCCGCCTAATCTGACCTGACCGCTCAACCCTCAGCGGCTGGCGATTCTGCGCGAAGACCAGCGGTTAGAGGACCACTCGGGTTTCGAGTTTCTCTACAAGAACGTGTGGGCCGACAACGCCGACCTGGTGTCTATCCAGTACTCGGGCACGCCGGCGCTCAAGACTGACTTTACGCGCACCGGTCAGCGCACCAAGCTGGGCCTGGTGCGCGACGGCTACAACTCGCTCTGTCGATACGTCAAAAACAACTTCATGGACGGCCTGCGCCAGGTAGGGGCGAGCCACCGGTCTGGGTAGGGGCGAGCCACCGTTTGGAGTAGGGGCGAGTCACCGTTCTGGGCAGGGGCGAGCCGTCGCGGGTCTGGGCAGGGGCGAGCCGCCGGTCTGGGTAGGGACGAGTCACCGTTCTGGGCAGGGGCAAGCCACCGGTCTGGGCAGGGGCGAGCCGCCGGTCTGGGCAGGGGCGAGCCGCCGGTCTGGGTAGGGACGAGTCACCGCTGGGTAGGGGCGAGTCACCGGTCTTGGTAGGGGCGAGCCGCCGGTCTGGGCAGGGGCGAGCCGCCGTTCTGAGTAGGGTAGGGGCGAGTCACCGCTGGGTAGGGGCGAGTCACCGCAGGGTAGGGGCGAGCCGCCGGTCTGGGCAGGGGCGAGCCGCCGCTGGGTAGGGGCGAGTCACCGCAGGGTAGGGGCGAGTCACCGCAGGGTAGGGGCGAGCCGCCGGTCTGGGCAGGGGCGAGCCGCCGCTGGGTAGGGGCGAGTCACCGTTCTGGGCAGGGGCGAGCCGCCGTTCTGGGCAGGGGCGAGTCACCGTTCTGGGCAGGGGCGAGCCGCCGGTCTGGGTAGGGGCGAGCCGCCGGTCTGGGTAGGGACGAGTCACCGTTCTGGGCAGGGGCAAGCCACCGGTCTGGGCAGGGGCGAGCCGCCGGTCTGGGCAGGGGCGAGCCGCCGGTCTGGGTAGGGACGAGTCACCGCTGGGTAGGGGCGAGTCACCGGTCTTGGTAGGGGCGAGCCGCCGGTCTGGGCAGGGGCGAGCCGCCGTTCTGAGTAGGGTAGGGGCGAGTCACCGCTGGGTAGGGGCGAGTCACCGCAGGGTAGGGGCGAGCCGCCGGTCTGGGCAGGGGCGAGCCGCCGCTGGGTAGGGGCGAGTCACCGCAGGGTAGGGGCGAGTCACCGCAGGGTAGGGGCGAGCCGCCGGTCTGGGCAGGGGCGAGCCGCCGCTGGGTAGGGGCGAGTCACCGTTCTGGGCAGGGGCGAGCCGCCGTTCTGGGCAGGGGCGAGCCGCCGGTCTGGGCAGGGGCGAGCCGCCGGTCTGGGTAGGGACGAGTCACCGTTCTGGGCAGGGGCAAGCCACCGGTCTGGGCAGGGGCGAGCCGCCGGTCTGGGCAGGGGCGAGCCGCCGGTCTGGGTAGGGGCGAGTCACCGCTGGGTAGGGGCGAGTCACCGGTCTTGGTAGGGGCGAGCCGCCGGTCTGGGCAGGGGCGAGCCGCCGGTCTGGGCAGGGGCGAGCCGCCGTTCTGAGTAGGGTAGGGGCGAGTCACCGCTGGGTAGGGGCGAGTCACCGCAGGGTAGGGGCGAGCCGCCGGTCTGGGCAGGGGCGAGCCGCCGGTCCGGGTAGGGGCGAGCCGCCGGTCTGGGCAGGGGCGAGCCGCCGCCGGTCTGGGCAGGGGCGAGCCGCCGCGGGTCTGGGCAGGGGCGAGCCGCCGCGGGTCTGGGCAGGGGCGAGCCGCCGGTCTGGGCAGGGGCGAGCCGCCGTTCTCCCCCGTCTCTCCCTGCCCCGTTACGCTGCTGTCGCTGGCTAGCTCAGTGTAGTGGGTCAACTGACTGTCCGGACCTGACCGACTGCAGCGGCCGCGCCCCCGGCCCACTGCCGCCGTCAGTGTGGCGGGCTGAGCCAGTGTAGATGGGCTGGACGGCCGGCAGCGGCCGGGCCGGCGCACGCTGACCGGCACCGGCGCTGGCCGCTCCGCTCCGCCCGCAGGACTCGATCGACCTGTTCCTGGGCAACTACCAGGTGGACGAGGAGGAGGGGCGCACGCGCCGCTCGCCACTGGCCGCCGGCGCCGACTACCGACTGGCCGTCCTGCTCACCATCCTGCTCGGCAGCGTCTTCATGTTCCTCACCACGGTGCTGGTGCCGGCCGGTGAGTGCTCGGACTGGTCGGCGAGTGCCGTCTGCTGTGAGTGCTCGGACCGGTCGGCGAGTGCCGTCTGCTCTGTGAGTGCCGGCCGGTGAGTGCTCGGACCGGTCGGTGAGTGCCGTCTGTTGTGCCGGCCGGTGAGTGCTCGGACCGGTCGGTGAGTGCCGTCTGTTGTGAGTGCTCGGACCGGTCGGTGAGTGCCGTCTGTTGTGCCGGCCGGTGAGTGCTCGGACCGGTCGGTGAGTGCCGTCTGTTGTAAATACCGAAGCCTGGTACAAAGGGGTGCTTCTAGTTGACTTGTGCATGGTACCCTACTGGCCGACCGGCTAGTAAGTGTGCCAAATCTGAGCGCAAACTGCCCAGCCTCTCTTAAAATCCATGCACGTGCAAACTGGGTCCCAACTGGCTCTTGTACAGGACACTACTCGTCTGTCCCTAACCGTGTACCTAAGTTAAACGCAACCGGCCCAGCCGTTTTCGAGATCTGGCAGCGACCCCGGCACGTGCGCAACTGCAGTAACACACCCCAATCGTGGGTGCACCAAAATCTTCCAAATTAAACCTTTTTTACCTGAATGTGACTGACCTCAGCTAAATTCAGCTGAATATGGCGTCAAATGGCACATACGACACTATTTTCGAAATATATGGCTGAGATGGACCATAAAACATGTGTCACGTGGCCGATGCATGATATGAAATTCCGTGACCTAGGATGACCTGGTCTTGACCTGGCAAAAGTTCGTTACCATCAGGGTATCTGAGGCATATATCGTCGTGCGTGTAAAACAAAAATGAGCCTGACCTGACTTGCTAGCCGGCGGCCAGAGCCCAAATTGTGAACAAGCCAAAATGCCGATAGTTTTTACTTTGACCTGACCTACGACTTCATTGGTGACCTCGAGGTCAATGAAATTAGGTTTCGTTCGACAGTTTGTCCAGGGCTCTCTGATTCCGTTTGAATTTTGACAATCAGCTCAGAAGTGTCGGAGATAAGATGGGGGAGGGTCTGTAGAGCCCCCCCCCCCCCAATAACCCGCGTTATAGAAAGTACCCCAGTCATGCGCGTCCCAGTCCCGCGCCCTGCTGGGGGGTTTTGAACCCCCCCCCCCTGTGTTTTTTTGCGAATATCTTAAAAAACTGTGGCACTCAGCGCCGCCGATTCTGGCACACCTTATCCCGCGAGTTGCTGGGGGGGGGGGGCGTTAAACGCCCCCACTTTTTCGCCGGGCCATAGCATAAAAACGGGCGCGCCTGCGCGCCAAATTTTGGGTACCTGTAGGGAATTGATTGAAGCTTATTGTGACAAAGTTTCAAAAAAATCGGTCGGAAAATTTTTGAGATATCGAGGTTTTAGTGACGTCATGTTTTCTTAGTTTTCGACCAAAAACGGCATATGTTCAAAAAATCATATAAAATCACAGAATAGACATTCAGACATGCCGTAAACGCCATTAGACTGCCAATACCATGAACAACCAAATGGCTATCTTCGATTATTGCTTATCGTTCCGCATTTTCCAAAATCTTGAACTGAATCTTGGCAATTTCTCGTGACGACCATGATATATACATTTCTTAAATTGAGGTTTTTTAGCCAAACACGTACACATATGATAAAATGAATGTGACCATCGTGTTCTACGCCCCAAATTACCCATAAAACATGTGTCACAGGCTGCGAATATCAGTTTTGATTTTCGGGGATATGTGCCTACCCGGTTGACCTGACCTTGACCCTGACCTATGCTTGATTGACCCCTACATGGAGCTGACACTCTTGTAGGCCTTATATGATGGATTGTGCACCGTTTTAACAGAGTTTATGACGAGAGGCGCCCATTGCGAAGTCCTAAAATCCATGCTACTGAAAGCCCGATTTCAGGTGTTTGACCTGACCTTGACCCGACCTGTGACCTCAAAATTCAACTTTAAAGTACTCATCTGAAGCGTCTCGTCGCGCTCTGTCGTTTGCCGCCTCGTGCGTTTCGCTGGGCCCATTGATTCTCGAGTTATCGGCTGGGGGCGTTTAACGCCCCCCCCCCTCCCCCAGCAAACGGTGGGTGGCGAAATACCCCAGCAACTGCCGGGTTATCATAATCAATTCTACCCATGTTGTGAAAATTTCAGACCAAGGTCATTCAAGGTCAGGTCACTAGGTCACTTCAAGTGACCTCACCTCAAAAAAGTTTTAATGTCTGCCATAGCTACACCGAGTGATCGATTGCTTTCAAACTTTCAGCGATTGATAAGAGCAATAGTATGTACAAAATGTATATCTCAAAAATTTGGTATCGGTGACCTAAGGTCAGGTCAATTTTGCGTCCTCCCCATTAATGCTTGCATTAACCCTCGCCCGCACATGCCATTTTCCCATCCTAGAACGCACATGGGGGGGGGGGGGTTGCCACCCCCCCGCGCCATTTCGTTCCTGTTGGAGATACGAGTAGAGCTTCGCGGTAAAGATCAAAAAGATTCTTTGGGAAGAGACGAATCTAATGATACCCAGTTTTACCTTCTCAGGTCAGTCATTGACCTTCCAGGTCAGGTCAAACTAAAAAATGTTGCTGTTTTGGGCCACCGTTGGATATCAAGTGCGCTGCTTATCATATACCGATGACGATGCCGTTTTCTGGTGCCAAGCCAGCTAGAACCTCTTTGTCACTTTACCCGACCAGATTTTTGCTGCTGAGGTCATTTCAGGTCAAGTTAGGTCAAGGTCAATGACATGTGTTTGTATGTCTGTGTGTGTCTGTGTGTATACTGATGTGTGCACCGAGTGTTTATGTGTCCATATTACATGAAATCATGATCTGAAAAGCTTTTACCAAAAATGCAGTCAAAAACTTCACGAAAAGTAAATTCAGCTTGCCTAAAACGCAATTATTTTAGATGACCTAGGTTGACTTTGACCCTGACCTTGACATCTGTACATCGTCGAACAACTTGTCCCATGATAGGTGGGAGGTAAGACTGGCAAAAAAAGGCCGAAATCAAGGTGTCAAAAGCTCACAAGGCCCATAGCCAACGCAAGATGTTGAGAATTGGTCATTTGGGTCATGACATGACCTGAAAAACAAGGTCATATCTCCGAAACCAAAAACCACAGAAACTTGAAATTTTCCGTGGACATCCAGAAAGGATAGAGGAGCAGCTATGCAAAAATCAGGCTTCTAGCTCTAAAAATGTTGAGTGCAGAGCAGAAAGACTACCTGGGGGTTGGCAACTACCCCCCCCCCCCATGTGCGGGCGAGGGTTAATGGGGAGTTTCTCCTCCCATTAACCCGCGCCCTGCTGGGGGTCCTGGATTTCCACGCCCTGCTGGGGGGGGGGGGGTGTTTGAACACCCCCCCCCTTGTAACTCGGCTCCTGGGCCACGTAGCGATACGCGGAAGGCGGCGTTCGAAAGAGCGTAAAAAATAATGACGAAATCACTTCGGCCAATTTTTTGGTCAGGTCAAAGGTCAGGTCACCAGAGGTCATTGAAGGCAAAATTTCGCCGATTTCCAGGTCGAATGTCGAAAATTTCCAAGAAGCCAACGCATAACTCGGAAACCAATAGAGCTACAGCGCCGCGGAAAAGCGCATTCGATAGCCCTATTAACGCCCTTTCTGCTTAATTCTCTCAGATTTGACCTAAGGTCAACGGTTTTGCCTGCAGGGGGCAAAAACTGCAAACATAGCCGATATTTTCGAAAACAGTTTTTCTGCAATAACTTTTGACCCAAGCCTTGTACGAGCTTACTTTTACCGGCATCGTGTTCCTCTCGTCAAGACGCATCGAATGAACTATAACTTGACCTTGAAAGGTCAACTTGAAAATTTGACCTCAGGTCAAGGTCATGACCTGACCGGAAAGGGTCATGTTGCATATCAGTCGATCCGTATCGTCGAGCTGAACACATCTAAGGCGTTTTCATCGTTCTAGCATGCCTCTATCAAAAGTTATTTGCGAAAAACTGTTAGATACCATTCGTGACCTAAGATGACCTCAGGGCATAAACAAGGGTCACGGACACCATTTTCAAGTTCAGTGTGTCTAAACCACTTGTAATTCGGTGTTTAGGAGTGTGTATAATGTCTTTCATCCAAAAGAGGCGCATTTCAATTTTCTCCCATTGACTTATAATGGGGAGGTCGCAAAATTGACCTGACCTTAGGTCATCGATATCAAAATTCTGAGATAAACATTTTGTACATGCTATTGCTCTTAGCAATCGCTGAAAGTTTCAAAGCGATCGGTCACTCGGTGTAGCTATGACAGACATTGAAAGTTTTTATGAGGTGAGGTCACTTCAAGTGACCTGGTGACCTGACCTTGAATGACCTTGGTCTGAAATTTTCACAACATGTGTAGAATTGATGTATAATAAGGTGTACCAAAAACGGCGGCGCTCCGCGCCGCCGTTTTTGAGATATTCGCGAAAAACCACAAGGGGGGGGTGTTCAAACACCCCCCCCCCCCAGCAGGGCGCGGGTTAATGGGGAGGGAGGTCAATGGGAGAAAATTGAAAGGCGCCTCTTTTGGACGAAAGCCGTCATGAACACTCTCAAACAATGAAATACTAGTAACTTGGACACACTGAACATGAAAGTGGTACCCGTGACCCCTTAGGTCATCTAAGGTCACGAGTGGTATTTAACAGTTTTTCGCAAATAACTTTTGATAGAGGCATGCCAGAGCGATGAAAACGCCTTAGATGTCTTCAGCTCGATGATACGGATCGACTGTTATGCAACATGACCCTTTCTGGTCAGGTCATGACCTTGACCTGAGTTCAAATTTTCAAGTTATCCTTTCAAGGTCAAATTATAGCTCATTCGATGCGTCTTGACGAGAGGAACACGATGCCGGTACAAGCAAGCTCGTTCAAGGCTTGAGTCAAAAGTTATTGCAGAAAAACTGTTTCCGCAAAAACCGTCTATTTTGTCAGTTTTTTGCCCCCGCAGGCAAAACTGTTGACGTTAGGTCAAATATGAGAGAAATAATCAGAAAGGGCTTTAATAGGGCTATCGAATGCGCTTTTCTGCGGTGCTGTAGCTCTATTGGTTCCTGAGTTATGCGTTGGCTTCTTGGAAATTGTCCACATTCGACCTGAAAATCGGCGAAATTTTGACTTCATTGGCCTCTAGTGATCTGACCTGACCTTTGACCTGACCAAAAAGGGACCAAAGTGTTTTCGTCATTATATTTGCCGCTCTTCCGAACACGGCCTTCCGCGTATCGCTACGTGGCCCAGGAGCCGAGCTAGAAGGGCGTGGTGCGTATGGTTTAAGATAGATCACTATTACTTCACTTGAGAAGTTTTTTGGCCGCGTTAGAGAGAAAATGTATTTTGATTTGACCGTGTAGTGTGACCAGTGTCTGTGTACCGGACCCAGTATGACCAGTGTCTGTGTACCGGACCCAGTGTGACCAGTGTCTGTGTACCGGACCCAGTGTGACCAGTGTCTGTGTACCGAACCCAGTGTGACCAGTGTCTGTGTACCGGACCCAGTATGACCAGTGTCTGTGTACCGGACCCAGTCTGTGACCAGTGTCTGTGTACCGGACCCCGTGTGACCAGTGTCTGTGTACCGGGCCCAGTGTGACCAGTGTCTGTGTACCGGATCCCGTGTGACCAGTGTCTGTGTACCGGTCCCAGTATGACCACTGACCAGTGTCTGTGTACCGGACCCAGTGTGACCAGTGTCTGTGTACCGAATCCAGTGTGACCAGTGTCTGTGTACCGGACCCAGTGTGACCAGTGTCTGTGTACCGGTCCCAGTATGACCACTGACCAGTGTCTGTGTACCGGACCCAGTGTGACCAGTGTCTGTGTACCGGGCCCCGTGTGACCAGTGTCTTGTGTACCGGTCCCAGTCTGTGACCAGTGTCTGTGTACCGGACCCAGTGTGACCAGACCAGTGTCTGTGTACCGGACCCAGTCTGTGACCAGTGTCTGTGTACCGGACCCAGTCTGTGACCAGTGTCTGTGTACCGGACCCAATCTGTGACCAGTGTCTGTGTACCGGACCCAGTGTGACCACTGTCTGTGTACTAGACCCAGTGTGACCAGTGTCTGTGTACCGGACCCAGTATCTGTGTACCGGTCCCAGTGTCTGTGTACCGGACCCAGTGTCTGTGTACCGGACCCAGTGTGACCAGTGTCTGTGTACCGGTCCCAGTGTGACCACTGACCAGTGTCTGTGTACCGGTCCCAGTATGACCAGTGTCTGTGTACCGGACCCAGTGTGACCAATGTCTGTGTACCGGACCCAGTGTGACCAGACCAGTGTCTGTGTACCGGACCCAGTGTCTGTGTACCGGATCCCGTGTGACCAGTGTCTGTGTACCGAACCCAGTGTGTGACCAGTGTCTGTGTACCGGACCCAGTGTGTGACCAGTGTCTGTGTACCGGACCCAGTGTGACCAGTGTCTGTGTACCGGACCCAGTGTGACCAGTGTCTGTGTACCGGACCCAGTATGACCAGTTTCTGTGTACCGGACCCAGTGTGACCAGTGTCTTGTGTACCGGACCCAGTGTGACCAGACCAGTGTCTGTGTACCGGACCCAGTGTGACCAGTGTCTTGTGTACCGGACCCAGTGTGACCAGACCAGTGTCTGTGTACCGGACCCAGTGTGACCAGTGTCTGTGTACCGGACCCAGTATGACCAGTGTCTGTGTACCGGACCCAGTGTGACCAGTGTCTTGTGTACCGGACCCAGTGTGACCAGACCAGTGTCTGTGTACCGGACCCAGTGTGACCAGTGTCTTGTGTACCGGACCCAGTGTGACCAGACCAGTGTCTGTGTACCGGACCCAGTGTGACCACGTGTCTGTGTACCGGACCCAGTGTGACCAGTGTCTGTGTACTGGACCCAGTCTGTGACCAGTGTCTGTGTACCGGTCCCAGTCTGTGACCAGTGTCTTGTGTACCGGACCCAGTGTCTGTGTACCGGACCCAGTGTGACCAGACCAGCGTCTGTGTACCGGACCCAGTGTGACCAGACCAGTGTCTGTGTACCGGACCCAGTCTGTGACCAGACCAGTGTCTGTGTACCGGACCCAGTGTGACCAGTGTCTGTGTACCGGACCCCGTGTGACCAGTGTCTTGTGTACCGGACCCAGTGTGACCAGTGTCTGTGTACCGGACCCAGTATGACCAGTGTCTGTGTACCGGACCCAGTGTGACCAGTGTCTTGTGTACCGGACCCATTGTGACCAGACCAGTGTATGTGTACCGGACCCAGTCTGTGACCAGACCAGTGTCTGTTTACCGGACCCAGTCTGTGACCAGTGTCTGTGTACCGGACCCAGTCTGTGACCAGTGTCTGTGTACCGGACCCAGTGTGACCAGACCGGTGTCTGTGTACCGGACCCAGTCTGTGACCAGACCAGTGTCTGTGTACCGGACCCAGTGTGACCAGTGTCTGTGTACCGGACCCCGTGTGACCAGTGTCTTGTGTACCGGACCCAGTGTGACCAGTGTATGTGTACCGGACCCAGTGTGACCAGTGTCTTGTGTACCGGACCCAGTGTGACCAGACCAGTGTCTGTGTACCGGACCCAGTGTGACCAGTGTCTTGTGTACCGGACCCAGTGTGACCAGACCAGTGTCTGTGTACCGGACCCAGTGTGACCACGTGTCTGTGTACCGGACCCAGTGTGACCAGTGTCTGTGTACTGGACCCAGTCTGTGACCAGTGTCTGTGTACCGGTCCCAGTCTGTGACCAGTGTCTTGTGTACCGGACCCAGTGTCTGTGTACCGGACCCAGTGTGACCAGACCAGTGTCTGTGTACCGGACCCAGTGTGACCAGACCAGTGTCTGTGTACCGGACCCAGTCTGTGACCAGACCAGTGTCTGTGTACCGGACCCAGTGTGACCAGTGTCTGTGTACCGGACCCCGTGTGACCAGTGTCTTGTGTACCGGACCCAGTGTGACCAGTGTCTGTGTACCGGACCCAGTATGACCAGTGTCTGTGTACCGGACCCAGTGTGACCAGTGTCTTGTGTACCGGACCCATTGTGACCAGACCAGTGTATGTGTACCGGACCCAGTCTGTGACCAGACCAGTGTCTGTGTACCGGACCCAGTCTGTGACCAGTGTCTGTGTACCGGACCCAGTCTGTGACCAGTGTCTGTGTACCGGACCCAGTGTGACCAGACCGGTGTCTGTGTACCGGACCCAGTCTGTGACCAGACCAGTGTCTGTGTACCGGACCCAGTGTGACCAGTGTCTGTGTACCGGACCCCGTGTGACCAGTGTCTTGTGTACCGGACCCAGTGTGACCAGTGTCTGTGTACCGGACCCAGTGTGACCAGTGTCTTGTGTACCGGACCCAGTGTGACCAGACCAGTGTCTGTGTACCGGACCCAGTGTGACCAGTGTCTGTGTACCGGACCCAGTGTGGCCAGTGTCTGTGTACCGGGCCCAGTATGACCAGTGTCTGTGTACCGGACCCAGTATGACCAGTGTCTGTGTACCGGACCCCGTGTGACCAGACCAGTGTCTGTGTACCGGACCCAGTGTGACCAGTGTCTGTGTACCGGGCCCAGTATGACCAGTGTCTGTGTACCGGACCCAGTATGACCAGTGTCTGTGTACCGGACCCAGTCTGTGACCAGTGTCTGTGTACCGGACCCAGTGTGACCAGACCAGTGTCTGTGTACCGGACCCAGTGTGACCAGTGTCTGTGTACCGGACCCAGTGTGACCAGTGTCTGTGTACTGGACCCAGTGTGACCAGTGTCTGTGTACCGGTCCCAGTGTGACCAGTGTCTGTGTACCGGACCCAGTATGACCAGTGTCTGTGTACCGGACCCAGTCTGTGACCAGTGTCTGTGTACCGGACCCAGTCTGTGACCAGTGTCTGTGTACCGGTCCCAGTCTGTGACCAGTGTCTGTGTACCGGTCCCAGTGTGACCAGTGTCTGTGTACCGGACCCCGTGTGACCATGTCTTGTGTACCGGACCCAGTCTGTGACCAGTGTCTGTGTACCGGACCCCGTGTGACCGGCGCCCGCCTCGCCCGGCCGCAGCCTACACGGCCGAGACGCTGCTCTACATGCTGTTCTGGGGGCTGATGGCGTACGGCACCTCGGCCGTGATTCTGGTGTACGGCGCCGAGTTCGTGCAGAACCCTCGGCTCTGCCCGCGCCGGCCGCGCGCCAAGACCGCCTAGACACCGGACCGGCCGGCCGGACCGGCCGCCTAGACACCGCCTAGACACCGCCTAGACACCGGCCGACCGGCCGGACGGCACATCCGTAGCTCATCTCCGCGACTCGGGCGCGCGCAGACCGGACTCCCGCGGGCAGACTGGCCGGCCTGTCCGCCAATCGACCGTCGGCCGGCCGACCAGGGGGTAGCATTGGCACTGCTCTGAATCGCCAGGGGGGTCTGCAGTTAGAATTGTTGGAATTACTATGATGATGCGCGGTTTGAAGCACTGTTGGACCTTGGTCACGGTGAAACGTGCCAGACTATGATGTTTCCAGTGTCGCTAGGATTTCTTGTCGGATATTTCCGTTCAAGGCTTGTTCCCGGCAGTCTGTTGGCGTTCTGTTGGGGGCTGCAGACGACTGCCGGCTGCAGACCAGTGATGCCCAGTCGCTGTGTCGGCGGCGGCACACATGACCATATGCGGGTGCACGCCGGCAATGCACACGCGGCGGTGAACGGGAAAAAGCCGTGTCGCCGCTGCTTCACTGACCGTCGGTCTCGGCGCCGACGCCGCGGACCACGACAATCGCCGGCGCTGGGGGCGCGCCGTCGGCGGCAGCTCTCGGCTCGGGGCCCCCCATCCGAGACTGGCCCGCGCCCCGGGCTGCGGCGGCGGGGTCGCCGTGCCGACCGACCGCATAGTTTCTTTCCGTCAACAGGTTTCGCAGTTTAGGTGCCTTGTATGTCGCGTGCGTGTTTAAGGGTGGCCAACTTGGACCGGCCAGGGTAGCGCGTGACCGGTCAGGGTGCGACAGGGGACGGGGGTGTGACAGGGGAACGGTCCAGAGAATCACTCCTGCCAACCGCCCAGCACACTGTGCATTGTGCAATGTATGGGGGACTGGACGTGTGTTGTCGGGAATTTACCCCTTTGATTATGTGATCTTGCATTCGGTTTACCACGAGCACTGTTATATCTGTTTGTAGGTGCCTATGCGCCCTCAGAGTACCTATAATATATATCAATTTTATTGTGTCCATCTGTTCATGTTGTATTGTGTATGTTTCAGGCAGGAGCGGAATGAGAAGTTAATAATTATTTGCCGTGGTTTTTTCCTGCCGCCAAATCAGCGTCCAATTTGTCGCGCTGTTGGGCTTTGATAAGATTTTGACCTTGAACTTTGACTTTGAAGAAAATGGCTTTCATTGTGCGGATAGAACTTTTAACTTTGTATGGGATACATTTCGGTGCCAATATTTTGAAAATTGGTCGGTGTTGGGGTAATTTTGCGATTCACCGTGCTTTGAATTTGGACCTTGATGAAAATAGTTTTCAATGGTGCGGGTAGAATTTGGCACGGGCTGCGTCACCACACCCTGTGACCAGTGTGGTGCGGTGTCTGGTGGTGACGTGGCGTCTGCCTGACGGCCGTGCTCGGAACGACCACAACTGTGACGCTCGTAACGCCATCTATTAGCGGCATCATATCTCTGCTGCACTTGGGTCGCACTGTTGTAGGGCCTTGGGTCGTCTTGGCAGCGCCCGCCACCTGGCGGCCATATACTATGAATCGTGGGGAAAAAGGACTTCTGGTCTTTTGGTGCGCTGCCGCCGCCACGGCTAAGCAGTCGACCAAAACGTTCTACCTGGCGTTCGCGGTTCGACACCCGGAAAATGAGAGATAATTATCCGGGATCATCGGTAATTATTTGGTATTGCAGGGACAATCGATGCAGTTAGTCACATTTTTATATTGCTTTTGCTTCACGAATGGCTGTTTTACTCGTTGTCATGTCCGTTGTACACGGTGTCAGCCTAAAACACCGAATGATCCCGGTTATCCCGACAAATTATCCCTGATTATCCGGATGTCGAACGTATGCCTATACTCGTAGTAGTCACGCTGTGGAAACGTGATGACAACGTTCCAGTAACACTGACATTGTCACGCTGTTGCCTGGAGTAGACCAAATAACGTTGTCACCGATATATCGGAACGTTGTGGTAACCTTTTGACAAATTGTAACAACGGCAAATTGTTAGCTGGGTGGTTAGCTTCAGAGGTGTTTAGAGCGCATCGCTTCCACCCAGCTAACAATTTGCCGTTGTTACAACGTCGTTTAAACGTTGTCAAATGGGTACCACAACGTTCCGATTTATCGTTGTGACAACGTAATTTTGTAGACTCCAGACAACGGCGTGACAACGTCATCCGACCATGCATTTGAATGTCATCACAACGTTTCGGTAACGTGACCGCGACGTCCCAAAACCGTTCTCACAACGTCCCGCCAACGTTATGAAATGTTTTCTGTAACGTGCCAACAGTGTTTCTGGAACGTTGTCACCACGTTTCCGCAACGTGGACAACAAGGGGTATAGAACGCTTTGGCAACGTCTCTGCGACGTTTTTACCACGTGCGCACCACGTTGTCGCTACTTCGTATTGCCGTCCCTGCGACCCAGAGTAAACGTCCTAAACATTTTCGCAACGTCCTCTCAACGTGTTCGCAAAATACTCAGAATGTGTTTCCGACGCTCTCTTCCCGTTCTCTAGACTTGTAAAAAAGGCATGTAAGAAGTGTATATTTCAATACATCACACAGGTCAATTTACAAAAAAAAAAAACGACAGCGGCGGCATCGGTGGTAGGGCATGGGGCCCAGGGGCGCCCCCATGGGGGCGTGGGACGGAATTGGGTTCTACCGGCTCTAGCGCTAGCCGCTAGCACGCCAGAACTGGTGGAAGTTCACTTCTTCACTAACCCTCGCTGGGAGGATCACTCGGCGGACCGTTAGGCACCGGCTCATTTGCGGCCTCGATGTCCCTAGGCAGCTGGCAGTGCCTCAGACGGTCTGCACGCCCCCGTTCCGGTCGCAGCTTCCGGACAGCCAATTCGCTACCGCATTGCCGACAGTAGGCCTGCCACAAGGCGCGCTGACGAGTTGCAGGACGTCTGCGGGAAGACATGAGGGAAAATCAGACATATTCAATTCATGAAAAAATCACAAAAATACCTGCACCACTTCCCGTAACAGTGCGACAGGCTAGATCAAACATGTCAACACTATAGAGGCTAGAGCTACAATGAACTATAGCCTAAACCGCACGATATTACAAGGCACAATCTTGCAAATGCTACTCGTAAATGGTAGGTACTTTGACTTACCAGTCAAAGCAACAATCGCATCAAACGCAGACAACTGGCGCTATCTTCCAGCTATCTCAGCCGCGCCCGCTGCCGGCCCTCACTGCTCGCTCGCGCTGCGGAGACTGCGGCTCGGCCGCCTGGCTCTGAACGCCGGCCGGTGACACTGACGTCACGGCCCCTCAGGCGAGGTCAGGGCGCGGCCCACCGTTCGCCAGAGTGGCGGCCCGCGTGACTTGCTGGCAGCCGCGGATAACAGCCGCGTTTACATAGGGATAGTTGCAAGCCTCTAGCTCCTAAGGTCATTTTCAGGTCAGGTCAAAGATGACGTCACAGGGGTCGAAAAAGTCAAAATGGCGGCGCTAGATATGGAGAGTTTTTCTCGAATAACTTTCGAATTAGTCAAGATAGGAACAAACTAAGGGCATCATCGTGATCCTCTCGTCAATCCGCATCGAATGATATATATGTTGACCTCGAAAGGTCAAGGTCAAAGGTTGACCTCAGGTCACGTGACCTCGAGGTCATCATGTATATCATTCGATGCGTCTTGACGAGCTGAACACGATGAGACCATCCACGCGTCTGTATCTTGTTCCTGTACGGAGTTATTGGCCAAAAACCTTTGGTGACCTTTGATGACGTCACATGACCTCACGGCTGCCCAACAGCAAAACAGACCTCAAGGTAGTGAAAGTTGATCGTATATGAAGTCATGTATGGTATATGGGGCCATTCCGACCCGTTTTAGTGGTAAAAACAGGGAGTTGATTTTTCCCCCATTGACTTATAATGGGGAGGTCGCGAAATTGACCTGACCTTAGGTCACCGATATCGAAATTCCGAGATATACAAATTGTAGCTACTAATGACCTAATAATATCCTGCGACTTTCAAAGGCCTCCGACATCTACTGTAGCTCTGGCACGGTGACAAAGTTGCAAAAAGTGACTTGAGGTTGGGTCATTCAAAGTGACCTGGTGACCTGACCTTAAAAGGTAGGAGGTTCAAACTTGCACACCATGTGTAAAATTGATGAGGTTATAGTCATACCAAATTCGCGGTTTTCCCGCTATTCGCGAAAAAAACCTCAGGGGGGCGGATATCCGCCCCCCGTCGGTGCGAGGGTTAACCCGCGCCCTGCTGGGGGTCCTGGATTTCCGGGGGGGGGGGGTGTTTGAACACCCCCCTTGTAACTCGGCTCCTGGGCCACGTAGCGATACGCGGAAGGCGGCGTTCGAAAGAGTGTAAAAAATAATGACGAAATCACTTCGGTCAATTTTTTGGTCAGGTCAAAGGTCAGGTCACCAGAGGTCATTGAAGGCAAAATTTCGCCGATTTCCAGGTCGAATGTCGAAAATTTCCAAGAAGCCAACGCATAACTCGGGAACCAATAGAGCTACAGCGCCACGGCAAAGCGCATTCGATAGCCCTATTAACGCCCTTTCTGAGTAATTCTCTCAGATTTGACCTAACGTCAACGGTTTTGCCTGCAGGGGGCAAAAACTGCAAAAATAGCCGATTTTTTTTAAAAACAGTTTTTCTGCAATAACTTTTGACCCAAGCCTTGTACGAGCTTACTTTTACCGGCATCGTGTTCCTCTCGTCAAGACGCATCGAATGAACTATAACTTGACCTTGAAAGGTCAACTTGAAAATTTGACCTCAGGTCAAGGTCATGACCTGACCGGAAAGGGTCATGTTGCACATCAGTCGATCCGTATCGTCGAGCTGAACACATCTAAGGCGTTTTCATCGCTCTAGCATGCCTCTATCAAAAGTTATTTGCGAAAAAACTGTTAGATACCATTCGTGACCTAAGATGACCTCAGGGCATAAACAAGGGTCACGGACACCATTTTTAAGTTCAGTGTGTCTAAACCACTTGTAATTCGGTGTTTGGGAGTGTTTATAATGTCTTTCATCCAAAAGAGGCGCATTTCAATTTTCTCCCATTGACTTATAATGGGGAGGTCGCAAAATTGACCTGACCTTAGGTCATCGATATCAAAATTCTGAGATATACATTTTGTACATGCTATTGCTCTTAGCAATCGCTGAAAGTTTCAAAGCGATCGGTCACTCGGTGTAGCTATGACAGACATTGAAAGTTTTTATGAGGTGAGGTCACTTTAAGTGACCTGGTGACCTGACCTTGAATGACCTTGGTCTGAAATTTTCACAACATGTGTAGAATTGATGTATGATAAGGTGTACCAAAAACGGCGGCGCTCCGCGCCGCCGTTTTTGAGATATTCGCGAAAAACCACAAGGGGGGTGTTCAAACACCCCCCAGCAGGGCGCGGGTTAAGGTGTTGAGTTGAGTCAGAGTTGAGTCAAACATTTAGGAACACATAGACCCGGGAACAGGGGGGGCAGCGGGGGCGCTTGCCCCCCCCCCAACTTGAGAGCCGAGGGGGCGGCGCCCCCTCAACATTGAGGCAGCGTGAAAGGATCTTTCTTCCCTTTTCCGGACTTCTTTCCTTCTTGTTTTCCATCTAAACATCATCACACGGCATTTTCCTAGCCATCTGAATGGTTTCTGCTGATACAGTATCGATTTCACAACATCTGCTATTGTCATCCCGCTTTGGTTTGGGCCTGGCCTTGGCCATGAGTTTGGCAGGCCAGATTTTATATTAGACCATTTTGAGAAAACTTTGAGAAATATATAACGTACAACGGTGGTAAAATCGTTGCTATAATATAGGTATATGACACAGTTTACCCGCTCCGGGTGTGAGGGAGGGGTGTGGGGCAATGAGTGCACTGACGTGGCGCCCTCGGAAGGCCGGTATCTATGGGATTAAAGCTCAGCGACACTAAGGGCTTGTCTGATGCATTTGGTTATCGGTAGCACCCTCAGAATCACCGGCGTGTTGGGCCC